ACTCTGGAGAGTTTTAATCAGGAAAGGATGTTGTAGGTCGTATCTTTATTTCCCACCTTGCCAGTTACCTCTCAGCATTTGGTATTTATGCAAAGGTGATATTATGTGCATAAATATTGCTAAAGGTTGGAAGACCATAAGGATTGGGTTCAAGGCTTCTAGCTACACACAGTTCCCCATTTTTCTATTAAATTAGGGCATGTAGGATATACAGTATTGAGGAGGCATTAAATGTCTTTGACTTCCATATTTTGTCTTATACCCTGGACCTAGACTGATTTCTAGAAGGCTTGTCCAGGAAACTTTTTCAAATTGGCAGCAGCACTCCTCACTTGAAACCCTTTTCGTCATGGGTGTTTTGTGACAGGAAGTAGACACCATAAACTGGGAGGTGCAGCAGATTGCTTAATCAAAATATATGGATACTGAGGCCCAGAATGAGACAAAGGAGAGAACCAGAACCTGAGGTTGTAGAATCCCAGAAGCTGGAGAGAGAATTCTCTGCTGATCAAAAAGAAAAAAAGTTTTTCATCTAAATGAAATATTGTGGACTGGAGAAATGACTACCTGTTTGTCGTGAGAAATGCATCCAGCCTTAAAATTGCAAACTGTAATGGGTTTTGTTTGTTAAAGATTTAGGCCAAGAGGAATTGATAATGAGAGACAAAGGTCTGAAAAGGAAAACAATCATTGGGCTTGTATTTAATCACTTCGTATTTTCTCAGACCTCAGTCATGTCATTATCTGGCTGTGGTGCTTACAGAACTTAATTAGGGGAGTTGAGGCAGCAATGGGAATAGGAGGCCAAAATGAAAGGGTAACAATTTAAACGGATCACCAGCAGGTGCCTGGTGTGGATGGAGATGAAGCCATTTAAGAACCTAATTGTAGAAGAAGCTCTTGACATTGATCATTTGTGAAAAGGAGATTTTTTTTTTTCTTACATACGTGGTTTTGTACACTTATGTCTACAAACCTTCAGCACTGGTACGTCTGATCATCAGCTTGTGGAATTACAAACACCAAGCCACTTTGAAAGAGCAGAACAAGGTTATTAACTTTGGCAGGAAATGAAAATTTGGCCTTAATATACATGAGAAATTGAATTGTCTGTAGCACAAAGCTTTGGAGATTACCCATGCAAAATGAGAAAACTATCTAAATTTAAAATTGTCCTCAGTACAGTGAAAAGTAATTTTGCAGACTGCGTTTTTACTGCACTGAAATCCATGAAGAGATGGGCTCTATTAATTTAGATTTAAACAGAGACTCTGTATCTTCTAAAAATGGTAAATGAGATGGAAAATGTACTTTAAGGGGAGAAATGAGTTTCTGGAAATGCTGCAGGCAGGCGGGTTCTCTACTCCACATCTCTGAGTCTGCCCTGAGACCAGTCGGCTTCAGAGGGAAGGCTCTATCTACTGTGACAGGCATTTGGAATAAGGACATTCAGACAACGCCTCAATTATATATATAGCAGGCTTCAAGAGCAGGTTAAGAAGCAAATCGAGTATGGCCCAAAGCAAAAGTTATTGGCAGTTTTTACACCATAATTCCTAACGTGGCCGGGTCCTTGGCAGAGAAAAAAAAAAAAATTAAGGAGGGATTGAATTTATTTTCTCAGATCTCTCTACCTCACAGTAGTTTTCTTATAATCTCTGCCTGGAAAGATACTGGAGTAGGGAATTTGGTTACTCTACCTTCCTTCTCACTCAAAAACTTAACTTCTTTATAAGGAGAAATTGAGTTTTTCACTCCCTAGTCTTTAAATTTTTTTTAGCTCACAAGAACAAATATTACTTGTTTATTGATTAAAGTAAATGATTATTTGTTAAATAAACAGGTGACTGTTTAGAACCATGGTTTTGATAAGCTGTCATGTAACCATCAAGAATAATACATGAACACACAAGAGCCAGAGTGGGACAAGGATTAATAATAAACTTAGGTTAGAGTTCTCCGAGGGTCTCGAAGTGTCTTTTCTTTACGGTTGCAGTGATGAAGAAACAGAGTGAGTGCCTGTGTCTGGTTCTTAGAGCTGCTTGGTAGTAAAGCTGTGTCTAGAACTAAGGTCATCTGAACTTATGCATAGTTTACATATGTGTTATGGTTTATCAACAATCAACACTGCTGAGTTGGCAACAAACCAAAGTAATGCAGTCAGCAGCCCGTTCCTCATCTTCACGTGATTTTCTTTTTGCTTCTCAGGTATCGCTCTGCTTTACTTACATCTCTATGATGTGTTCGGGGACCCCGCTTACCTCCAGATGGCACATGGCTACGTAAAGCAAAGTCTGAACAGTCTGACCAAGCGCTCCATCACCTTCCTGTGCGGGGACGCAGGCCCCCTGGCCGTGGGCGCCGTGGTGTACCACAAGATGAACAATGAGAAGCAGGCAGAAGACTGCATCACCCGGTAATCATGTTTCTTTTCAAGGATTATTATCGAGACGTCATTACATATTAATTCTGTATGTGTGTTAGCAAAAGAACATTTTAGTGAAGTTACTTTTCCCTCAGCAATAAATCTTACTACTGTCATTTGATCACATCGCACATCATTCCGATGTAGTTAAGGAACAACCAGTAAAATTCCCTATTTTGTTGTAAGATGTCATGACACTGACCCACACCAGATCAAACATCAGTTTAATAACAAAAATGAGATCAGAAGCCTAATCCTGGGATTACTAATCCAAGGTGCTATCCAAGATCAATAATTTGAAAAATGTGGTTCATTTCCTGTGATGGGTTGGGGAAGGCCTCCTCATGGACTACAGACTGACTCAAAATTGCTTTTCTTAGGAGCAAATAACATGCAAATCCAGATTTTTATTTTTAACAGAGATCGGGGAAGCCCACTAGAAGCTTGTGAATTACGAAGAATTACTAAACTTGTGTACTAATAAACTACAATTATTGTTTTACTAGAGTTTATTGAACACGAAGAATTCTGTTCAGAATTCTGGCAGCCATGCAACTCTACATGCAGTGCTGTTAGGCTCCGAGTGTGTCCACACGCAGAGTTGCAATTCCAGCAAAGGCTTTTGGTTGTGTTTCGTTGTTTAATAGCCTTTACTTTTTAGAGCAATTTTCAGTTCACAGAAAATTGAGAGGAAGGTACAGAGATTTCTCATATACATGCATAGCCTCCCCCAGTATCAACATTCCCCACTGGAGTGATACACTTGTTACAATGGACAGGCATATATCACCCGAAGTCCATAGTTTATATTAGTTACATTAGTTACATCTTGGTGTGCATTCTGTGGGTTTGGACAAATGTATGATGACATGTATCCATCGTTATATTGTCATACAGAGTAGTTGCCCTGCCCCAAAAATCCACTGTGCTCCGCCTGTTAATCCCTCTTCCCTGCTCCCTGACCCCTGGCTACTGTTGATCATTTTACTGTCTCCGTAGTTTTGCCTTTTCCAGAATGTCATAGTTGGAAATATTACAATATGTAGTCTTTTCAGATTGGCTTCTTTTACTGAGCAATACGTATTTAAGGCTCCTCCATGTCTTTTCATGGTATGTTAGCTCATTTCTTTTTATCACTGAGTAGAATTCTGCTGTCTGGATGTACCGTAGTTTATCCATTCACCTACCGAAGGACATCTTGATTGCTTTCAAGTTTTGGCAGTTATGAATAAAGCTAATGTAAACATCCAATTCTGCAGGGTTTAGTGCAGACATAAGTTTACAGCTCCTTTGGGTAAATATCAAGGAGTACAATTGCTGGATCATATTGTAAGGGTATGTTTAGTTTTGTAAGAATTTCCAAACTATCTTCCAGAGTGGCTGTACCATTTTGTATTCCCACAAGCAATGAATGAAAGTTCCTCATGCTCCACATCCTTGCCAGGGTTCCAGATTTTGGCCATTCTAGTAGATGTGTAGTGGTATCTCGTTGTTTTAATTTGCATTTCCCTGATGACGTATGATGTGGAGCATCTTTTTATATACTTCCTTGCCATTAGTATTGCTTCTTTGGTGAAATGTCTGTTAAGGTCTTTCACCCATTTTTTAATTGGGTCCAGCAACATTTTAATCAGTGATTATCTCCAGTTTGACCATGGTTTTTGATTCCCACTACTTTTTCTTATAATTACTATTAGAATGGCATTTTCATCACTGATTTTGTTTGTGGAGGATCTTTGGTGAATTTTACACTGTGCAGTGGTGTGTATTTCATTAACAGGCTTTTGGCCTAAAATTCTAATAACTAGAGTTTTTTCTCCCCCTCAAAATTTTATTATGAAAAATTTCAAACATACAGAAATGTTGAAACAGTAGTGAATACCTATATATCTACCCACATAGATTCTACCATTAACATTTTTCTATACTTGCTTTATCACATATCTAATCCATCTATCCATTTCAGAGTGAATTGCAGACATCAGTACCCTTCCTTCTAAATATTAAAGCATATATATCATTTACTAGAGTTCAATATCTGTTTAGTTTTCTTCTTTTGACGTAAAGTTTATACACAATGTGCTGCCCAAGTTTTATGTATATTTGTTGAGTTTTGACAAATGCATTGCAAAGCAGAAACTACCTTTCTATTTCTTTGCGGCCAGTTTAAAGCCATTAGCCACACATTTGCTTTAGAGGCTCAGAAGGAAGTCTCATTCAGTGAGTCACTCTTAAGTATCATAAAAATAAGCCGTAGTGGTCCCAATGTTTTATATGTAATACCAGCCTTTCTCAGTGTATGTGCAGCCAGATAGTAATAGTTTGCTGTGTGAAAAATAAAAACAAGATTTGTGTATTCAGACAGGGGAAACACTATTTAAGCACAGTTAAATATACACCTTTACTGGCTGCTCAGAGTCGTCAGGAGCTTTTGACACGTGGGTGAAACTCTGGCAACTCTAGGGAGTGAAATTTGCCAAACTTGTCAAGTAGATAACCCTTTTCCTCGTGACATTTTAGAGCCTACTGTTGTAAGAAACCGTCTTTGGGGTACAGTACCATATATTAATATTGGTTTATTTATAAAACACTCTTAAAAGTAAACTAAAATTTTTTGATACCTTGATAACAAAGTTGTTTTTGTTATTTATATCTTTTTAAAAACTTATACAATGTTTCAACAGTATTTTATTTATAGCCAGTAGATTTGTTAAGATTAAATATATAGAATGCAGATAGTGAAAATAGGCCATTTATGGCCACAGGTTTGATTTTTCAGATTTCTAGAGTTCATGACAGAACAGGAAGAAAAAAGGAATTATGTGTAAATTACTTTCACATCTCCTCCCTTTTAAGGGAAAAATCTGTAAGTTTTTGCAACTCAATTGAAATGATTGGATGTCATCAGATATTTAATAAACCTACTTGGTTGTTTTACTTTTTACTGAAACTTCTTTCCTATATCACATAGGCCTTTGGAGCTATCAGAGACCCTCAAGTTCTCTACATGGCCTCTGTGTTGTGCTCCACCACCAACGTCATTTTTCAGCTTACCTTTCCTATGGTTTCTTAATACA